TGATATTATTCCCATGTCGCCTTGAATATGTTGTATACTTAATAAAGTCACTTAATGTGATTGCCTTCTCTGTGCTGACAGACTCCTTCCTTAAAGGTCAAGTTGACCTTACACTGTTGTAGCTCACACTCAATGTAAGTACTTCCGTTGATTTTGGATGTTAAAGTGTCTGAAAGTACTTCCATGAATCCACTAGAGCTAAAATTTGTTCTCATATTAATTATAACCCTACAAAGTTACCACTTAATACTACTAATTATATAACAATAAAAGTAAACTTTGCTTATTTTATCAGACATTTCATAAATTCTAGATAAACGGTTCATATCTATACTATTCCATATGTCCACAAAAGTTTTGTCTGCATTGTTATTGAACAAGATAGACAAAAGATTATCTGTTGTTACCATATTACAGCTATGGCGGCAAGACATATACAGCTGGCAAAATTGGCTTCTTAACTCCTTTTCCTAATTTTCTGTTTACTTTGCTATCTGTATTATCTTCATGTTTCATTGCATGATCCAAATCTATCCATCACCATCTCTCAAAGCCTAAGTTGGCGACCGTCCACTTAGCAAATATGTTGGTTTTTATAGTAATAATTCACCACTTGTTGTTTTCCATCTATTCAAAATGAAGAACTTTTTCCTTTTGAAAAGTTATTCATAAATTTTCTTTTTTATATAAAATTAATACTTCGTCCGATTAAAAAACAAGTGATATATTTTAGTTTGTATGAAATTGATAAAGAAGTTTCTAACTCGTTCTGAGTAAATAGCTTCGTGTATGGGGTACATAAAATTGCATAGCATGCTTGTTCACTCGCAATTAATTTGCTAAATAAATGTGTTTTTATGATATTCTAAAAAAGGGTTGTTTTTTTTTAATAAGATAGATCATATTAAGACCTACAAAATGAATTTAAAATGTGTTTTGTTCAGAATTATAAATGATCGGTGAAATGGTGAGGTAATGCTTTGCAGCGATGAGTTTGTGCTTCCAGAGCAGTGGACTTGTGGTAGAGATGGTTTGCGTGCTCAACATATATTAGACGCATTGTGTAGAGAAGGTTTTATTGTGGCAAGAGATCTTTAATGCAAGTCAGTCACTTGTCCATCGTACTGGAAATATTAAATCATGCTTCCGAGGGGACGTCATGTGGTAGAGATGGTTTGCGTGCTCAACATATATTAGACGCACAGTGTGGAGAAGGTTTTGGTGTGACAAGAGATCTTTTATACGCACACTCTAATTGTTAACTTATGGCTAAGAGGACGATGTCTCATGAGTTTGGTAGATTTTGTTTTCTCTGCACCCTTGATGTCGTTATTAAAGCCTAATGGTGGGATATGACCAATTGATGTGGGTTCTATTTAGAGGTGGTTGGTATCCAAGGTTGCTATGAAAGGGATTAGTAAAGATATGGCACATTATCTCAATGATTATCGGTTTGGGTTGGTGTATCGGGTGGTACTGAGACCATTTTGCACAGTGCCAACAAGGTATTAAGCAAGCGACACATAGATGGTTATTTGGCCATGCTTATCATAGATTTTTCAAATTCTCTCAACATGGTAGATTGATCAACCTTATTGCACAAGGTGAGGTTGAGTTTATTTATGGCCAAGCAACACAATTGTACCTTAGGGATGGACATACTCTGTCAACCACTGGAGTGCAACAAGGTGACCCGTTAGGACCTCTCCTTTTTGATCTTGTGTTATACTCACTCATTCATCAGGTTAGAGACAATTGTAAGCTTATTCTTCATGTCTGGTATCTTGATTAGAGGACTATTACAGGGGATTCATAAGAGGTGGCTAAAGCCCTTGATATCAATCAGGTGACAGGTCCAAGATTAAATCTCGAATTGAATATTAGTAAAACTGAGATGTTTTGACCTTCATGTGATGGTAGTAAACTTCGTGAGGATTTGTTCCCTTCGGACATTGGGAGGCCGATGTTGGGGATGAATTCGCTTGGAGGGGCTGTTAAAGATGACAACTTTATCAAAGGGTTGTCTATGAATAGAGCTTCCAGAGATATTAAATTAATGCATCTTCTACCACAACTAATTGATCCTCAGATTGAGCTTCTTCTACTTCGATTCTACATGGGTATTAGCAAGTTATTTTTTGGCTTAAGAGCGAGCCAACCTAATCATATTGAGGACACAACTATTTAGTTTGATAAGGAGTTACGAAGGACGGTTGAAGACATCGTGGTTAGTGAAGGTATTTTCTTTAGGGACCTTCAGTGGAGGGTGGCTTCCTTACCCATTAGGGGGGTTTGGGTTTGTAATCGGTAGTAAAGGCTACCTTAAACTTTTGTGGCTTCTAGTGTCCAATCTTAGGTGTTACATGATCATATATTGAGAGATATTTGAGTATATGGTATGGACTCGGATTTTGACAAAGTTTTGGATGGTCTTAGGATTGCGATTCCAGATTTTGACCTTAACAATTTTACTAATAAAGATATTGTCCCTCCTAAAAGACAACATCTTTTGGCGAGTGCTCTTTTTAGAAAAATTGTTAATGGCATGGATGTAAATTTTGACATGACTACAAGACATAAAGCAGTTTTTGGTTGTTTGTAAGCTGCACATGCTCAGAACTTTCTCCTTGTTATTCCTATTGATGAGATAAGCCAACATATATCACGAACAAAATTATCTAAACAAGATAGTATGGAGCAAGGCGGATCCTCTATCTATTAGCATAATCGTACCAGCAGTTAGACTAGCACTCTCTCTCTCTCTCTCTCTCTCTCTCTCTCTCTCTCTCGTGGTAATCGACTGTAAGAGAGCAGACTGTCTTTGTTCTTCTTTATGGAATACTCAAGCCTAGTGAGAACTCAAGTCGATTCAAATGAATGGATCCATTGGAACATGCGAGCAAAGAGTCAAGAGAAAGAGAATAGAACAGGAATCCTCGGAGACTATATCCATAAATAAAACAAAACATTGAATCAACTGGTATGGAATCAATATCTGAGAACATTCTGTTTCACTTTATCAGATGATCTTTTAATATAAAGAAGTTAAATTCTTTTAAGGATTATATCTCCTCTAGACCATGCCTATTTAGTTGAGGTCTTAAATATAAGACTGGTAAAAAATTTAGGAAAGAATGTATTGATTGCATTTCAAGTGAGATGTCCAAGAGAAAAGAAATGAGGTTTTGAAGTGACGAGAACAAAAGAGGAGGGTTGTGTCATATTGATTAACAAGATATGCCGAGTCAATAAGAATATACCATGCTAACCTCGAAATGTTAATCCATATGCCGTTGCAACCCCACTCGTAAAAAATATTAAATTCGTACTCACTAAGAATGCCATTCTGCATTGGGAGATTCTTATTCCAGAAGAATTGGTCAAAGCATAGCTTGAATTCTCTTTATTCGCCAATGAACATCTACCTTTCGTCTATAATGTGATTTTTTTTTGCTTTATTTAATGGATTCTCGAACTTAATTGAAAGCCAATGTGGTTTTCTGAAAGGGGATCTTGAAAATAATGGCCTACTCCTTAACTTTGTTGAAGTAGCACATGAAGTAATCTCTATCTCTTGATATAAGCATGATATGATTTCCTCATTATATATTTATATATTTTTAGAGAAAAAGATGGATAGGATTTCTAACTTCCATTTCCTATAGGACATGAGGGCTTAAGCCTATGCTAAGAGAGTAAGGTTCATGTCTAGATCTTTTTTCTATCTTCTTTTTCTTTTCCTTCAAAACTCTTTTAAAAAATTTATTGTTTGACTTTAAACAAATCAAAAGTAGAAAAAAGGTAAACTCCTTTACTTCATTATATATATATATATATATATATATATATATATATATATATATATATATATATATATATATATATATATATATATATATATATATATATATATTGTATAAAAATATGACACACTTCAACTTGACGAATTTTCTTAGTAAGAAATAATCATAAATCATCCATCTCATAAGTTTTTCAAAGCACATTCTAAACAAACGAATGCTATATGCTTAACTACAACTTTGTCGATGAGATCGCCATTCAGAGGAGATCTATTTGATTGGAAAGTTCTTAGCAGATATCAAAGATGAAATCTGCAAATCGCATGTGTTAAGTATGCCATTTCATCAATGCTTTGACGCAAAGGCAGGAGCAAAACCTATTGATTCACCTGTTTGCTATCTATCCTAAGATAATTCCTTATGATTTCTTTATTTCGTATTGATGAGGTTTTTCCTGTTTGTTGTAATGTGTGTTTGAATATATTTGGGGAACACACAATTCATTATAGGGAGCTTCCAAGCTTCAAATATCAACATGACTTTGTTAGGAATATCCTGATTAATATATTTCTGCAGACCAGTATATCTGTGAATTTCTTGATTGACCCACATGAGGGGAGATCGACACTAAGGCAAACAGATGTTCTTGCATATGAGTAGGTAGGAGAGAAACATGCTTATGTGGACTTGACTGGAGTTTCTCCACTAGTGAGACTGATGACTTGTGGTTGTACTGTGGGACAAACAACTCTCAAAGCCGCTTCAAATAAAGTTGTTAAACATGAGAAAACGTGTTTCAACAATCAACATGTTTTCATACCATTTGTCTTTGAAACTTTTGAGAAAGCATAAGAAGTAATTGATCTTTTCCATAAAGTATAAAAGTTTATGAATAACAATGTTGTATCTATAGACTTATAAATGTAGCTTTTAAAAGAATTAATTTTGTATCTAAAAAGTGTAGCAACATAATTTATCTGCATTCTGTGTATATAAATAAATGGATTATATTATTGTATATTTGAAAATCAATTTGAATTTTAGTTAAGCAGCTAGCTAGCTAGCACGCACTCAACTTTTATTTACCGCCTTGTTTTTCAACTATAAATAAAGGATCTTCTATTCTCAATTCATTGCACATTTTAAGAACATTACATTTTCAGTAACCAAACTAGTTCCTCTTTACTATATCCATAACAAATGGCTTTTTCTAAGCTTCTACTTTCATCTCTTTTGCTATCTTTTCTCATTCTCCATCTTGTTCATGCTCAACAGGTAATACTCAAAGATATTGCTCTTCTTTTCATCCTCCAAGTGTTGTTTCTTCATTATAATTCAATAAAACAAGTTTTTTGTAGGAACCAAAAGTACACTCCCAAACTCAGGTTTCTCCTCAGCAGCAGATAGGTAAAAATAACTATTATAGACAAATAGATATCACCTTTTTATTCATATAAGAATTTCTTAGCTTATTTAATAATCACTTTTATTTTAATCCACTTCTATTTGAATGATGTATTTGACATGACTTTTATAGATTGCAATGGAGCATGTGCTGCGAGATGCCGTTTAGCATCTCGGCAGCGCCTCTGCCATCGGGCATGTGGAACTTGCTGCAGGCGCTGCAACTGCGTGCCACCGGGAACTTCCGGTGGCCAGGAAGTGTGTCCATGCTATGCCAACCAAACCACCCACGGAGGCAGACGCAAGTGTCCTTGAATATGTTGAAAGAATCACTTCTATAATCAACTTATGCAATGCAACTTATCTATCTATGTGTGTGTGGAGCAAAGACTTGTAGCTTTGTGGAAAATAAAATTCTGTTTTCAATTCATGTTGTATTTTATGATAATAATTGCATTGTGATCATATTATTATTGTGATATATTATTATTGTGCTTTATATATTACATCGGTTACACATGTTGGGCTCAATTGATCATATTATTATTGTGCTTTATATATTACATCGGTTACAAATGGTGAAAGATAAATATATAAGAGAAGAGAGATTAAACACAAAATTTATCGTCATCCATCTTTCTTAATTCAGAGTTTCGTCCGATCTCGTCATATTCAAAGATTTGTTAATATAATCAAACATATTAAATATCACTAAGATATTTTCAAATCCAACTCACCTATATTTTAGATTTTTCAAACACACAAAAATTGATTCCAATTGATTTATTTTTGACCGGTTTGTTTTAACTTGCAAAAAATAATATTTTTTTTAAATAGATTTTATAAACCGTTTTTTAAAATATTATAAATTTTTTATATTGATTTTTTTCTAAATTAAAAAATTAATTTTGACATTTTATGACATAAACATACAATATTAAAGATTAAAACATAGTCGGAATCCTAATTTTTTCAAAAAATTATATCTCAAAAATGATTTTTATGAAAAACTATTTGAAATAGGTTCAAAATTTGTTGGTGCACAAGATGAAGAAGATGAACGATGAAGAAGAGAGAGAAGAGAATAACAAACTTCCACTACTTTTGTAAAACGGTTACAAAAATGGTTACTCCAATGCACTGGTTATTCGCACTACTTGTTGCTCAGTATGTGTGTACAACTATTGACAGCTACACAAGTATATATACACAAACAAAAGTGTCACGTAGGCAACAAGCTAAAATATTGAATTACCCTTCAACATCATCCCTTTATTTAGGATTTAATTAATCAAAACTAACAACACCAATTCCATCCCTCAAGTGGAGAGATTGATCAGTCTTGATCGCCTTCGTCAGAACATCTACCAACTGCTTTTAGAAGCTACTGTGTACAACTTCTAGCACTCCATTCTGGACTTGACTTCTCAGAAAATGATAATTTGTCTCAATATTCTTGCTTCTTTCATGCAACACTGGGTTTTCGGCAAGATTGATTGCAGACTTGTTATCAATCATCAGCTTCTGAGGCTTATTTACCTTGATCTTCATATCCTGCAGTAAATTCAGAAGTCAAACAGCTTGACATGCAGCCACAGTAATTGCAATGTATTTAGCTTCACAGGTTGACAAAGCAACAATTGGTTGCTTCGTGGAACACCAAGAAATAGGACCTCCCAGGTACTTAAACAAATATCCAAAAGTACTTATTCTATCAACTCTGTCTCCACACCAATCAGAGTTTGAGTAACACATCAGCTCTAAATTAGCCTTTCCTTCATAAGGGAACAACATTCCATACTTCAGAGTCACCTTAATATACCTCAGAATTCTGACAACAGCTTGGTAATGAGACCACTTTGATTTACTTATGAATCTACTAATCATTCCAACTGTATAGTAAATATCAGGTCTGGTATTACACAAATACCTCAAAGAGCCAACCAACTGCTTGAAAGTTGTAGCTTCTACATCATCACCCTCGGGATCAGAATCTAATATGTGATCTGTTTATGAAGGTATGAGAGTAGCCTTATCATTCAGCAGCTCGAATCTCTTCAGAAGCTCAAGTTTATACTTCAGCTGATGTAAAATGATTCCATTCTTAGAGTACATAAACTTCATCCATACAAAAATATGTCATATTTCCTAGACCAATTATCTCAAACTCATTCATCGACACCTTCTTGAACTTAGCAATATGTCATCAACATAGAGACACACCAGAATCATTTTTCCTTAAGAAGTATGCTGATCATAAACGCCATACTCCATCTCACACTTTCTGAATCTTTCTCGCTTGAAAAATGAATCAATTTTCATATTCCAAGCCTTAGGAGCTTGTTTCAGTCCATACAACGCTTTATGTAACTTGTGCACCATCCCTTCCTAATTCTTTTTCTAAAATTCAGGAGGTTGTGACACATATACTTCTTCTTGCAATGGACCGTTAAAAAAGCAGATTTCACATCTAAATGCATCAGAGGCCAATTCATGTTAGCAGCTATCACAATCACCAGTCTGATTGTTTCATGTCCCGCTACAGGTGCAAACAATTCAAAGTAATATAACCCAAGCTTTTGTAGAAATCCTCTTGCTACTAACATTGCTTTGTGTTTGCCAATTGATCCATCTGGCTTCAGTTTCTCCTTGAAACCCCATCTGATACTGACGGCTTTCTTATCCTTTTGAAGCTTAGTCAACTTCCAAATCTTATTTCTTTATATAGCCTCAAGTTCTTCTTTCATGGCCTTCAGCCACAATTTTTTCTTGAGAGCTTCTTCTGTACTCATTAGTTCAGAGTCTACTAACATGACATGCTGAATGACTTCCTCTTCATACTTTATCTCAGTATCTTGCAACATATCAAACTCTACAAATCTTCTTGGAATGTTTCTGATTCTTTGTGGCCTCTAAACTTGTTTAGAATCCTCTTCAAACGCTGGAATAGTATCAGATGCTAGAACCTCAAAAGTACAACCTTCAAAGTCTGGAATATTCCTAGAGTCTAGATTTCCACCAGAGTCTGAATCCCTATTAGAATCTGGATCATAATCAGATTCACTTATCTAAAGGAATAATTTCCTTCAGTTTCTTGGTTAGACACATATTGAGCACATATGTTATAGTGGCAACAACTTCTCCCCAAAAGGTGTGAATGAGTTTCTTTTCCTTCAGCATGTTCTTTGTCATATCAAGCAAAGTTCAGTTTTTTCTTTCACCAAGACCATTGTATTAAGGAGTATGTGGAGCAGTCACCTCATGTTCAACTCCATTTTCTTCGTGGAACTTTCTAAACTCGGTAAAGTTATACTCACCTCCACCATCAGTTCTAAGAATATTTAGAGTCTGATCACTCTGATTCTCAGCCTTGATTATGAATTTCTTAAATTCAGCAAACACTTTGTGTTTGAACTTTATAAGGGATACCCACGCCATCCTTGTGAACTCATCCACAAATGACACAGTATTTATTCCCTCCAAGTGAAGGTACTTGAAATGATCCACACACATCAGAATGCACCACACCTAAAGCATGTTTTGCTCTTAGAGGAATTTCATATGCAAATGGCAGTCTTGGTTGCTTCCCTCTCATGCACACATTGCATGAGTTCTCTAGCTTCTTAATTGCAGGAATTCCATGTATCAACTTCTTCGAATTCATATGCCCTAACCTTTTGAAGTTTAAATGACCAAGTCTTTTTTGCTACAACTCACTTTCCTTCATAACACTTGTTGCACTAAGGCATTCAGAGTCTGCAGTTTTAACATTCATTTTGAATGTTTTATTTCTTCCCCGTTCTGACTTCATAATCAACTTCTGATTACAATCATAAAACTTCCAAAGATTATCCTTCATGGCAACTGAAAAACCTTTCTCAATTAATTGTGCTACACTCATCAAATTGCTCTTCATGTCAGGCACAACCCACACATTCTGAATCAATATTTGTTTTACCATTCTAGAGTTGAGGTATTTATCATCAACACATTTGATCTTTGTCCTTATTTTAGAGTCAAAGTCAACCAGCCATTTTTTATTTCCAGTAAGCTGATTTGAGCAGCCAATGTCCATATACCACCAGTCTGCCAAATAATCATCAGACTCAAAAGCCATCAATAGCACAGAATCATCATCAGAATATCCTCTGGCTACGTTTGCTTCTTCTGACTTCCTTTATTTATTTGACCAGCAATCAGCAGCAAGTGGATAAACTGCTTACATTAGTAATATTGAATATTCCTATTGTCATACTTTTCTTTCCCCTTCTGAGCACTCTTATGCCTTTCAGAAGTTAAGGTTTCTGACTTCTAAACACCATTAGATCTCTTTCTAACTTCTGACCACGACTGCTTTTGATACTTCTTACTAGAAGTTTCTTTCAGAGCCTGCTGCTCTACCTCTCTTTTAGAGTTTCTCTCAGCCAAGCGCAACTCTTGTGCCTCTAAACTGATTTGAAGCACTTCAATTCTCATGGTTCTAAGATCCTTAAAATGTTCAATTGCTACAACAATATAATCAAACTATGGATTAAGAGATATAAGCACCTTCTCAATGATTTTTTCATCAAAGTTTCTCCACACGGCTTCATCTCATTTGTGATAAGAATCACTCTAGAGATGTAGTCAACTACCTTCTCATTGTTCTTCATGCTGAGATTATCATACTGCTTACATAGAGATTGAAGCTTCACCTTTTTCACTGATGCATCACCACTGTAGCACCCTACTAGTGTGTCCCAGCAGCCTTTACCGTCGTTGAATCAATGATTTTCTAAAACACGTTCGCATCCACACACTGATGGATGTAGAATAATGTCTTCTGATCCTTCATCCTCAGATCATGCTGAGCATTCCTCTACACATTTGTTGCATTCTCCAGAAGTGCAACCAGAACATAGCCATCATTGACGAGATCAAGAACATCTTGAGCGCTAAACAACATACACATCTGAATCATCCACCAATTCCATTTCTTGCCATCGATCACTGGAAGCTTCGTACTCAAATTGCCATTTTTGTTCATCCTCAACCTTGTGCAAATCACTCAGATCTCACCAAACACTAGTGGTTCCCAATCCAACAGAATCAAGAAATGTGATTCTATTATAATTTCGATCAAGAAATTCAACACGAATTCAAGAAATAAAATCAATCACATAACGCCTCACCGTTCACTCGTGTTTCCCTGTGTTCCTCTATGGATCTAAACTGGAGCTCTAGATACCAATTATTAGTGCACAAGTTGAAGAAGATGAATGATGAACAAGAGAGAGAATATAATAGTAAACTTTCATCACTCTTGTAAAACAGTT